AATATTCATATTTGACCTGATTGTTTATAGGTCATAATGCGTGATCAAAACTGAAAGTTTCTGTGATGAATGCCCTTGCACTGTTCACCATGTAAGAATTTATTCACTATGTAAGAATTCGTTCACCATGTAAGAACTTGTTCGTTATGCTTCAGAAGATGGGAGACTGACGAGAATTAGGCTTGAGATGGATTAATGATTGTGCATTGAGCATTGACCCCCCTATACAGAATTTTATTGTTGTTAACAACCATCTGATCAATAAATATGAGAGGCCCTCTCAAAAAAAAAAAGATGTACATTTCTTAGACATCATGCCATTATACATTTAATAGACTACATTCTATTATAAACATAACTTTTATATGTACTGTGAAATAAAAAAATTATTTGACTCAAAAAAAAAAAAGTCCCCAAGCCCACAGCACTGTGAGACAGGTAGAACTATTATTTTGAACCCCATTTTAGAGACAAGGAAAAGAGCCAAAGAATTGGAAGGTCATGCCCTTAAGTTAGAAGCAGATCCAATATGTACACCTGGGCCTCTCAGCCTCAGGGCACCCAAGGGAACCCTAGAGAGACACAGCTTCATCTCTCGCAGCAGGAGGTACAGAAAGGAGTTGGGTGGGATGGGGAGTTAGGCCGCGTCTCCCTCTGCCTCCCCAGGCCACCCGAGCATCCCGCAAGGCCATCGCCTTTGGTAAGCGCTCACACTCCATGAAGCGGAATCCCAGCGTACCTGTCACCAAGGCGGGCTGGCTCTTCAAACAGGTGAGGCGTCCCCTGCCCTTCTGCCCGCCGTAACTGACGGCCGCTTTCCCCTCACAGCACTACCTTTCCTCCATGTATAATATAATAGTGCATCTGTATTTGGTTTGTCCTCCCACATCCCATTTGGTGTGTCTCTGTGAGTGAATCCCCTAATTTTACAATGGCTCAAACAAGTGTGATTTTTTCCCAAGATCACCCAGAAAATTATTGTCCAGTTTGGGCATCCAGCCAGGTCTCCTGATGGGTGGAAGCAGTGACTTGGAAATATGCTGTGTCACCAGCCCAGTCAGAGCACCCCATCGCCCCGTTCTCAGCAGGTCCATCTTGCTATGAAGGGAGGGGGTGTCTCCCTTAGCCCAGAGCTCTACCAGTTCTGCCTAGATTGACCTTGCCGCTGCCCCTGCCTCCTCCTCAGTCATTCGGGCTCATCATGCCCCTTTTCTCTTCCCCGGGGAGGCGCTGAGGCCCAGAATGACAGCACTGGAAGGTCACAGGCAATCATTTATTGTCAGTTCCCTGCATCAGAGGCCTCAAGGGAGTGGCTGCCATTTCTCAGTGGCTGAGCTGCAACAAGGCGAGATGCCCCTGTAGTTGGCACAGGCTTCTTCGGACCGCATCCCCTCTTGCCCTGCCCAGCTCACTGTCCCTCCCATCCTGCAGGCCAGCTCCGGGGTTAAGCAGTGGAACAAGCGCTGGTTCGTCTTGGTGGATCGCTGCCTCTTCTACTACAAAGGTGGGCTTGCCTGGGGCTGGCAGGGTGGCCAGAGCCGGGGCCCACCTTTCTTTCTCAGTCTGCCAGATCACTGGCTGAGCTCTGGATGGACACGGGTGGCGTGGAGGGGTGCAGCTCTCTCTGTGCAGCCTCCAGCACTGGCGGAGCAACCGTGGGGTAAAGACAAAGCTTCTTGCTCACCCCCACACTCACATGGCATTCAACAATATTTACCAAGGCCTTGCCAGGTTCCAGGCAGAGTGCAGAGCCCTGACTGGTGATTCCATGGGCAAAAGGGACATTCATGTGACTGACGGTGAGGTTCGCAGGGGGTGGAATGGGGGCCAAAAGGAGGGAGAAGAGGAAGGTCCCTAGTCCCCCGTAGCAGACCACCTGCTAATTGGAGCTGGTCTGTGGAGCTGCCTCTGGGCTCACCGGACAGCCTGACCCAGTTGGGGAAGAAGGCGGCGGTCCGGCCTGCTGTGTTCACTGCTGGACCTATGCACCTAAAACGAGTGTGTGGCTCGTAACAGGTTCTCAATCCGTGTCCAATAACCAAACATCCCCCAGTTTCTACCCTCCCTCCGCCCTGACACTCACTCCCTACCCTCTCAAAATAAAGGGGCACAGAGGACAAAGCTCTGGCCACTTTGGTTCAGCCGCCTCCAGGAAGGTATTTTTAACATTTACAGCAGCTTACGTCACCGGGGGCGCCAGGGAGCTCACAAGGGGTGGTGACAGTGATGGTCCTGTGGTGCTGGTGCAGAGCCACTAGAGGACCAGGTAGGCTGGCTTTGTAGCAGGAGAGGTACTTTCCCTTCCTCCACGCTGCAGGAATGGCAGAACCCTGATTTTTCCAGGCCTTCTGGGAACAACTCAGTGAATCATTAACCTTGACAAAAGTTGTACCAGCTGACCCTCCAGAACACTGCTGCCCCTGAGCCTAAGTTGTTGCCACCTGATCCCCAGAGAGAAAAATCAGGAAGGGTCCGTGTATACGGGGTCCAGTCACAGAGGAAACCCCAAGCTTGGGAGAGAAGAATGTGCCCAGGCCAGGCCCCCAGTGCTGGCCCCTGGGCTGGTGGACCCCCCGGAGCCCGAGTGTGGATGCGGCTGCAGGAAGGCCAGGCCCTCTGTAGGAGAGACTGTGGGACGTGCACGAGGTGGACCCTCCAAAAGCCGTGGGCTCCAGGGGCCTGTGATGGGGCCATTGTCCGCTGCAAGGTCTTCTCAGAAGACCCCCTAAACACCGCCAACCAGGGGGCCTGACCCCTGCAGAGGATGGCGGCCTCTGCTTGCCCGAAGCAGGGCCCGGGTCCCTCCTGATCCTTCGGCCCAGCCCTTCCTCTGGGCACCGTGCTGCGGTCCGCACAGGAAGCTGGACCCTAAGTCAAGTACCTCATGCAGGCGATGACTCAGAGGAGAAGGGGGGTTGGCGGAGTTTACAGTCGGCAGTGTTCTTCTGAACCCTAACTGAGGGTTTGACAGGGTCTCCAGTGGGGGGAGTGAACTGTCCCAGGGAAAAGGGGAGGGTCTCACCAAGGCCTCGTAGTTGCCCCTCCCCTGTCCACAGAGCGCCCTCGCCCTCTCTGGCCTCCTGCTGACAGCTGGGGACCCGCCAAGCTAACCCCTCAGGCTCCCTTGGAGATGCAGGATGAATCGCATAGCAGCCTGGTTGTCAGCCTGATCCCCGGAGCCCAGAGGGCCAGGAGGCCGTGTAGGCAGCTGTTTTCCTGTAGAGAAACAGGGACTATAAAGAGGAGGGGTGAATGTCAGGAGAGGCCAAAGGAAGCATCCAGGTGCCCGAGAGGACCTTAGGAACAGTCACCCAGAGGGGCCGGAGCCCAAGGAGGGACTGTCCGCTCGGCCCTGCCCTATCCTCTCACGAGCGGGCTGCATGGACTACTGATGGAACCGTCTTGTTTGGAGCCGCACCAAGGGGAGCAGAGTGGTTAGGAATGCTAGCTTGGCAGACTCTCAGACTCTGAGAAGGGATCAGCGGTTACCAGAGTGAAGGGGGTGTGGAGGGGGGTGTGGGGGGAAGGGGGAGGGGATTAGGGCATTATGATTAGCACTTATAATATAGGTAGGTCATGGGGAAGACAAGCAGTGACTCTGTAGCTTCTTACTACGCTGATGGACAGTGATTACAATGGGGGGGGGGACTTGATAATATGGGTGAGTGTTGAAATCACGGTGTTGCTCATGTGAAACCATCATAAGATTGTAAATCAGTGATGCCTTCATTTAAAAAAAAAAGGAATGCTAGCTTGGGAGTCAGCCTCTTGGGTGCAAAGACCAGGCCACCACTTCCTACTTATGTAACCTTGGATGAGTTACTTAAGCCCTCTGTGTCTCAAGACCTCCTTACCTATAAAATGGGGTAATAACAGTCCCTATTTACAGGATTGTTGGGAAAGTTCAATCTGTTCAGGCATTTAACTTAGAACAGTGCCCAATGTATAGCGAACACCCCAAAACATTAGCTGCCATTTACTTGTGCGCTAGGATGTAGGCTCCCTGAGTGAGGGGAACTACCCCACTCTCATTCACCTCTGTGGTCCCAGTGTCCAGACGGTGTCTGCTCTCCAGCGGCAGGGCCTCTGCCTGTCGGCCCGCTGCGTAGCACACCCGGGGTGGTTGTGCGGTGGCCCTGAGTGCCTGGCCCATGGTAGGTGAGCAGCAAACACTTATTGCTATTTCTCACGAGAGGGCTGATATGCTCCTCTCCCCACCCCCTGCACGCACACACACACATCTCACCTGTGCCTCTGTTTACCTACAGATGAGAAGGAGGAGAACATCCTGGGCAGCATCCCTCTCCTGAGCTTCCGCGTGGCTGCGGTGCAGCCCTCAGACAACATTAGCCGAAAGCACACCTTTAAGGTCAGTGGCCGTCCTCTCCCAGGTCAGGCGGGGGAGGGAGGCCTGCTCTTCTAGAACATGTGGGGATGCAGAAGGATCTGGAGCACCTCCGAGGGAATGCCAAGTGGTGGCGGAGTGAGCAGTAGGCAGGGGCCCCTGGACTCAGTGCAGGCTGTTGTCAGACTGAGGTGAGGCTGTGCCAGCGCCCCCTTCTCTTTTCTCAGGAGTTGGGCAGGTACTTTTTGCCAGGGTGAGCCAGTAGAAATGTGCCTTGGCTTTTCCTGGGGGAGAAATAGTTATATCCAGAGCCCACAGACCCTCTGCCCAGTGGCCTGGGCCCTGGCACCTGGAAATCCCTCCCACCAGAGGCAAGAGCTGTGGGCTGGTGAGGTTCCTTCCCTCCTTGGACCTAGGACACCAGACCCCACCCATTAAAAGTACTCAGATTTCAATCTTTAGAGAAAATCAGGAGTTGAATTTCATTACAATCAAGAAATGCAAACCTCATTAGACAACAGCTTGACAGAAAGGGCCCAGGAAGATGCCCCCACCTGCCTGCCTGCTCAGCCTCAGTCCTTCCAAACCCCTGGGGGGTCCACACATGAAAGATGCCCCTGCAGCTGGCTCAGCCACGGCCAGTGTTTTTCCACATTAAAAAAATTCATGACCCATTACAAATGATAAAAATCCCATGCCCTTTTTATATTTTATGATGCAAGGACCATGGCTTCTTTTTCCCTGTGAAAATATAAAATTATGGTATCGTATTTTGTTAGTACAACGCCCTCTTTCCCCAAATTGAGAATTGCTCTCCAAGACCCTGAAAACCTAGAGCTATGGAGGGAGATGGTAGGACCGGCGGCAGCTCACACCAGCTCAGGGCCTGCGCCTGCAGGGCCTCGGAGATGCTGCCTCCTTATGTCCTTCAGACCGGTGGCCAGGCCACAGGAAAGAGGTGTGCAGCATACAGAGAGTGCAGAGCTGCTGTGGGAAAAGGGAAGGACTTCTTTGGCACATAATTAGTTTCCCAACTCCCGGGGTCCTGTCTGCCAGAGGTGTGAACAGAATGAACAATTAAGGAAATTGGCTCCAGGGAGCCAGGTTCTAGCTGGGGAGATGGGAACACGCTGTTTAACCAACCACAAACAGTCCTGCTAGATGCAGACACCCCCCGACACACACACACTCAAACAGCCCGTCCCACTCACCCTGCCAGACCTGTGCACAGAAACATGCTCCCGCTCAGAGCTCTGCCAGCAGCAGGTGTTGGATCAATGTCCCGAATGATGGTCACACACCTCCACCCAAACCCCCAGGTCTCCGGACCACCAGCCCTTCTCCTCCTTTTCCTCCTTTTCCTCCCCTCCCCTCTTTAAAACCCACTTCTGAGGGCTCTGCTCAGTGGCCCGCAAAAGGTTCTCATTGGTTATTGAGTGGCCCTTCCTTCCCCAGGGAAGGGAGAACTGAGACAGATGGGAGGCTGGTCCTGCTGGGCCACCAAGCAAAACCCTTGGATGGCTAATAATGAGCCAGACACCGTGCCTGCCCAGCCTACTGTGGAATACCTTAACCTCCTCCTAACCCAGCCCCCTGGGGGCACAGGGGACTTCACCCCATTGAGGCACCGCCCTCCATCCTCTGGCCCCCTCTGATTGTCCAGGCTGGCGTCCCCTCCCAGCTCCCCGTCGCGGCCCGGCTCCCAGGTCCTCTGCCTTTGTCCTCTAGCGAGCAAGTGTTCTGTGCTGTCATGCCCTCCTGGTTTCCCTGTGGACGTGTCTTGTCCTCCAGCTTGTCTGTGAGCTCTTCAACTACAAAACACATGTCTCTGTTTCCTTGACTGGTGCCCAGAGCAGAGCTCTGCATGCACAGGACGCTCGCTAGGTGCTTAGCAAATTCATTTATCTGCTGCCCACTCCTGCCAGCCACAAGGCCCACCTGTGTCTCTCTACAGAAACCCCACATTTTCCACTCCAGAGGGCTTGCCTGGGCCCCTGGTGTCCATATCACTGTTTCCACCCCCACCCCCGGAGTGCCCCTTACAGCTTTGCTGGATTCTCTTTGGTACCTCCCTGCCTCTGCCCACGTGCTGGGCCCCCTGTGGGGGCTGGGGACTGGCATATCCAGAGCAAGGAGGCCCTCTGCCCTGGGCGAGGTGGACACACCCTCCCTGGGTTAGGGCTCCTGCCAGGAAGAATCTTGTGCTGGGGTCAGGCGCTGCGGGGTGCTGGCGGTCTGGCTGGAGAAGCATCTGGACATTGTGGATTTCACGTGAGCCCTAGGGCTTGGTCAGAGGAGCCCTGTCTTCTCTCCTGCCAACCCCCAGAGACCGAGATTTTAGCATCCAAAACATCAGAGGCCAAAATGAGGCTCACATCTGAGACTCGTAGTCACTTGCGGACCTCTTGCGTTGAGTGGGATAAACAGGGCCACCTGCTTTTGCTGGGAGACTGAAGGTCTCCCCTGGGGGGATGCTGAGATGCTAGGAAGAACCTAGTGCGGGAGAATCTCTTCTCGGTGGCCTAAAAACCTTGACTTTCACCAGGTAGATACTGCCCCATTAAACAGATACATCAATTAAGGCCACAGCAAAAGAAATGCTGTTTGTCACTGCAGAGCTGGTCAGGAACAGAGCAGAGATGCCCTGGGCTCTCTCCACCACCAGCCCAAACTCCCTTGGCACAAGCTCTCCCCTCTGTCCTCTTGGTGGGCTGAACTGGGCCTGCTGGGTGCTGTCATCCTGATGGTGGCCCCGAGGAGAACGGATAGTCTGTATGGCTCCCCACTTCCCTCTGCTCCCCAACATTACTGCCACGTCGTCTCTGTCTCTCCCTCTGGTGTTTGGTTGACCTGTTCTCTGCTTCTTCTTCTGACTGCGTGAGGACCCCTCCTCTGGACAGGAGCTTTCTCCTGGGTTCCCGCCTGCTGCGCCTGCTCCCGGCCACCAACTAGGTAGCGTGCTCTGACTGTCTGTGCCTGCCCCTTGCATGCCCATGGAGACAGAGGCCTAGCCATCTCTCTGCAAGGAAGATACAGTGCTAGCGTCTTAGAGGCCACGCTGGGGCTGAGACTAGCATGTGCTCCGGGTGGGGGGGACATCTCTCCCAGACATTGGATAATTGCCCTTCAAATCAAAGATGGAACTCGATGGGTCAGTGGGCCTTGTAATTGTCCCTCCTGCTTATAATCACCTCAAGTTGGGCAGGGAAGCTTACCTGGCTATTGGGCTGCCTAGTGGTGTCCAGAGAGCTAGCCAGGGCAGATGCCCAGATGCCAGCTGGTGCAGTTGGGCACACTCCTCTCTGGCTCCTGAGCTCCATGTGGGGAAAAGAACTGCAGGTCAAGGGAGTGGTCTGCCTGACCGTCCGTTCTGTGGGTGCGGGTGTCTTCTCCCTACAGGTGACTGTGTGCTGGGTGGATGAGGCCGGGGCCGGCTCCACGCACTGCCTCTCCCCACAGGCCGAGCATGCTGGGGTCCGCACCTACTTCTTCAGTGCCGAGAGCCCCGAGGAGCAGGAGGCCTGGATCCAGGCCATGGGGGCGGCTGCCCGAGTACAGATCCCTCCAGCCCAGAAGTCGGTGCCCCAAGCCATGCGTCAAAAGTGAGTGCCGGGGTTCTGAGCAGAGGCGAGGGCAGTGCCAGAGAAAGGAGGTGGGGAAGCACCTGGCTCTGTGCCATCACTGAGCCCAGCATGTTGGCTGGAACCCCCGAGAACATGCAAACATGGGAAACAGCTCCTTGCAACCCAGCAAGCGTCCTGGCTAAGCGTTTTCAGAGCCTATGACCTCTCTTCCCTCAACCGGTCCCTCCTCTTCTCTCTGAGCTGCTGGAGGCCAAGAGAGAAGCCAGGTGCTGTCAGGGCCTGGCCAGGAGCCAAAGACCAGAGTCAAGTGCTCATTATTTCTTGGCTGTACATGTTAAACACGTGGCCTTTGGAGGAAGAAGAGCTCAGGTTTGAACCCCGACTGGGCCTCTTGCCCATGGTGGACCTCAGTGTAAGTACAACCTCTCTGAACCCGGGTTTCCTCTTCTCAAAGACAGCAGTTAAAACCCTACCTCCCTGGCTGTCGTGAGGACTAACGGTATGTGTAAAAGGCTTGCCATGCAGTGAACACTCACTATGTGGCCACTCCTGTCACCCACTGTCATCTGCCTGCCTCTGCTTGACCCAGGGACTGAGTCTTGAGTTAGATGTTAATTGGGATCCAGAGGAAGCAGGTCTCACAGTACAGACTCCAGTGTATTTGCACGTCTTAGAGGCGTTTACCAAGCAATGTCTCAACAGGGATGCTTGCATGTGTTGAATTTGGGAAGCTGTGAGGGAGAGCCCTGTCACAAGACTCCATCTTTGCTCCAACCAAGGGGCATACTTCCAGAAGTTCGCTCATTCATTTCTTAAGTTTTTACTGTAAATGGAAATGTGTAATTCACTATATTTGGGCACTAGGAAAGCAAAGGAGAAAAACGTTAGACACGCTCCTGCCTCTGGGGCGTATGTTGTAGTCAGCACCTGAGAAACGTGTTTGGGAGAAGGGGACCAGCATGCTTCTATGCCCGGGTACGTGAGGAGCAGCTTTGGCTCCTGGCGCGTGCCGGGCTCTATCTCAAGCAGCCCTGTAAAGGGAGTGTTGTCACGTCCATCCTGCAGACCAGGAGCCCGAGGACTGTGGAAGTTAACCAACTTCCTCCTGGAGAGAGGGCCGCCCTGTGCCAGGCCTCTATAGCTGGGACACCAAGGAGGGTCTATGGTAGAGGCTTTGGTATAATAGACACCAAGTTTGGGGGTCTGGATCAGGGACGGACGACAGAGGAGACAGAGTCTGGGTGAGGTTAGTCTTGACCGTAGCTTCAAGGTTGCCCTCGAGGCAAGTCAGCGGAAGGGAGCAGAGGGTGACCGCGGAGAAGACCTGGGGGACAAAACGAGCACAGGACGTGCAGGCACGGCTCGACTCTGTTTTGCAGTAATTTCCCGTAAGTGGAGCCAGAAGACAAAATGGGGGGATTTAGGAAACAATTGTAATTTACCGAGTCCTGTTTCCATGGCCACCTACCTACCCAGCCTCCGCTCTTCTCCCTCCCGTTCTGCTGCCCTCCACGCAGCTCCATGTGGGCTGGGGTCACTTACAACATCTCCCTTGGTGCCTTGCAGCCACGAGAAGCTGGACTCAGAGAACATCCCCCCCAGCAAACACCACCAACCATCCCACAACAGCCTCTCCAAGCCGGAACCGGAGGCCAAGACCCGAGGGGAGGGGGATGGCCGAGGCTGCGAGAAGGCAGAGAGGAGGCCCGAGAGGCCCGAAGTCAAGAGCGAGCCTCTGGTGAAAGCCAATGGTGTCCAAGCTGGATTGGAACCAGCCTCGGAGCCAGGCAGCCCTTACCCTGAGGGCCCGAGGGTCCCAGGGGGTAGGGAGCAGCCTGCCCAGCCCAATGGCTGGCAGTGTGGCTCCCCGGGCCGGCCAGGGAGCACAGCTTTCCCGCCTCCAGAATCCGAGAGCGGGGGACACCAGCGGGGTGTCCCCCCACGAGCCAACCCAGACAAGATCGCCCAGCGCAAGAGCTCCATGGACCAGCTTCAGCAGTGGGTGAACCTGCGCCGAGGGGCGCCCCCACCCGAGGACCTCCGGAGGTGAGGCCTGGGAGGGGCTGGGGGTGGAGCCAGATGGAGATGGGCGAGGCCGGGGCGCCAGCATGGGAGACACCCCTGGGGGAAACTTTCTGGAGGCCAGGCTGAGTTGGGAAACCAAGGAACCCCAGGATTCCCAGCTTGTCCAAATCCTTAACTGCCCATGGCCCCCCAATAGTATTTGACCCCTAATTCTTGCTCTCTCCGTCTGCCCCGCCCAGAGGAAGGGACAGAGCAGCCAGCGCCTCTCCACGAGGATGTTGGGTGGCCCAGGAAACCTGGCAGTCACTGCGGGGGGCCTTCGAGCCCTTCCAGCCAGACACATGTCTGTGCTTCTGTCCCTCTGGTGATATCCTCTGTTCCAGTGTCCCTACCAACCTGAGACTCACTAACTGCCAAGCCAACTCACTCCATTTCTGAAGAGCTCTAATTGTTTGAAAGCCATTATTTACGTGTAATTTTTTAAAAAGAAAATTAACATACAAAATGTTGCCGCTCATCATTCCTAGCTCTGCCCTCTGGACCAGTTCACTGTTCACCTAGGGTCTGTCTTTCAGCCATTTGCACTTTTATTGGGATGACCCACGAAGGCAGGTGGGACTGCCACTCCTTCCGTAGGGGCCTGAGGTCTGGGCAGCTCTGGAGACTGTAGGCAACCCCCCCAGGAGGGCTGCGCACTGCTGCTGTGCTGGGGAGAGCCCCTCACTTGGGCTGAGGCCGGGACCCTGCTGGTTCCATCCCTGACAAGGTGATAGAATCAGGGAGGCCGCCCTTCGGGCCCACCGCCGGCCCTCCTCCAGGGCCGGGTGCTCCGTCTTTCTGCCTTTACACCAGTCCCCTCTCTGCAAAGGGTCTGATACATTGGTTCATGCTGAGATAGCGATGGCTAACTAGGCTTAAAGTTTCTCCCAGGGGTATTTCGTTTTAAAGAGACAAAGATGGAAGCTTCCAAGGTGAAATTTCTGGCCTCAGGGAGTGGGTAGAGGGAGGGAGCTTCGTATACTTCCAGAAGTTCGCTCATTCATTTCTTAAGTTTTTACTGTAAATGGAAATGTGTAATTCACTATATTTGGGCACTAGGAAAGCAAAGGAGAAAAACGTTAGACACGCTCCTGCCTCTGGGGCGTATGTTGTAGTCAGCACCTGAGAAACGTGTTTGGGAGAAGGGGACCAGCATGCTTCTATGCCCGGGTACGTGAGGAGCAGCTTTGGCTCCTGGCGCGTGCCGGGCTCTATCTCAAGCAGCCCTGTAAAGGGAGTGTTGTCACGTCCATCCTGCAGACCAGGAGCCCGAGGACTGTGGAAGTTAACCAACTTCCTCCTGGAGAGAGGGCCGCCCTGTGCCAGGCCTCTATAGCTGGGACACCAAGGAGGGTCTATGGTAGAGGCTTTGGTATAATAGACACCAAGTTTGGGGGTCTGGATCAGGGACGGACGACAGAGGAGACAGAGTCTGGGTGAGGTTAGTCTTGACCGTAGCTTCAAGGTTGCCCTCGAGGCAAGTCAGCGGAAGGGAGCAGAGGGTGACCGCGGAGAAGACCTGGGGGACAAAACGAGCACAGGACGTGCAGGCACGGCTCGACTCTGTTTTGCAGTAATTTCCCGTAAGTGGAGCCAGAAGACAAAATGGGGGGATTTAGGAAACAATTGTAATTTACCGAGTCCTGTTTCCATGGCCACCTACCTACCCAGCCTCCGCTCTTCTCCCTCCCGTTCTGCTGCCCTCCACGCAGCTCCATGTGGGCTGGGGTCACTTACAACATCTCCCTTGGTGCCTTGCAGCCACGAGAAGCTGGACTCAGAGAACATCCCCCCCAGCAAACACCACCAACCATCCCACAACAGCCTCTCCAAGCCGGAACCGGAGGCCAAGACCCGAGGGGAGGGGGATGGCCGAGGCTGCGAGAAGGCAGAGAGGAGGCCCGAGAGGCCCGAAGTCAAGAGCGAGCCTCTGGTGAAAGCCAATGGTGTCCAAGCTGGATTGGAACCAGCCTCGGAGCCAGGCAGCCCTTACCCTGAGGGCCCGAGGGTCCCAGGGGGTAGGGAGCAGCCTGCCCAGCCCAATGGCTGGCAGTGTGGCTCCCCGGGCCGGCCAGGGAGCACAGCTTTCCCGCCTCCAGAATCCGAGAGCGGGGGACACCAGCGGGGTGTCCCCCCACGAGCCAACCCAGACAAGATCGCCCAGCGCAAGAGCTCCATGGACCAGCTTCAGCAGTGGGTGAACCTGCGCCGAGGGGCGCCCCCACCCGAGGACCTCCGGAGGTGAGGCCTGGGAGGGGCTGGGGGTGGAGCCAGATGGAGATGGGCGAGGCCGGGGCGCCAGCATGGGAGACACCCCTGGGGGAAACTTTCTGGAGGCCAGGCTGAGTTGGGAAACCAAGGAACCCCAGGATTCCCAGCTTGTCCAAATCCTTAACTGCCCATGGCCCCCCAATAGTATTTGACCCCTAATTCTTGCTCTCTCCGTCTGCCCCGCCCAGAGGAAGGGACAGAGCAGCCAGCGCCTCTCCACGAGGATGTTGGGTGGCCCAGGAAACCTGGCAGTCACTGCGGGGGGCCTTCGAGCCCTTCCAGCCAGACACATGTCTGTGCTTCTGTCCCTCTGGTGATATCCTCTGTTCCAGTGTCCCTACCAACCTGAGACTCACTAACTGCCAAGCCAACTCACTCCATTTCTGAAGAGCTCTAATTGTTTGAAAGCCATTATTTACGTGTAATTTTTTAAAAAGAAAATTAACATACAAAATGTTGCCGCTCATCATTCCTAGCTCTGCCCTCTGGACCAGTTCACTGTTCACCTAGGGTCTGTCTTTCAGCCATTTGCACTTTTATTGGGATGACCCACGAAGGCAGGTGGGACTGCCACTCCTTCCGTAGGGGCCTGAGGTCTGGGCAGCTCTGGAGACTGTAGGCAACCCCCCCAGGAGGGCTGCGCACTGCTGCTGTGCTGGGGAGAGCCCCTCACTTGGGCTGAGGCCGGGACCCTGCTGGTTCCATCCCTGACAAGGTGATAGAATCAGGGAGGCCGCCCTTCGGGCCCACCGCCGGCCCTCCTCCAGGGCCGGGTGCTCCGTCTTTCTGCCTTTACACCAGTCCCCTCTCTGCAAAGGGTCTGATACATTGGTTCATGCTGAGATAGCGATGGCTAACTAGGCTTAAAGTTTCTCCCAGGGGTATTTCGTTTTAAAGAGACAAAGATGGAAGCTTCCAAGGTGAAATTTCTGGCCTCAGGGAGTGGGTAGAGGGAGGGAGCTTCGTGGACGGTGTCTTTTGAGAACTGCTGGAAACAAGGCCCAGTGCAGCCAGTGTGGCCCCTGGGCTGGCGAGGTTGCTGGGATGCAGGGGCGAGTGAGGATGTGCCCATGTGGTCTGGCTTCCTTAAAATGTCCTCTCTCTCTCAGTCCCTCTAGGTTCTACCCCATGTCCCGCAGGGTCCCTGAGTATTATGGCCCCTACTCCTCCCAGTACCCCGATGATTACCAGTACTACCCAGCAGGGGTGCGGCCAGACAGCATCTGCTCAATGCCGGCCTATGATCGGCTCAGCCCACCTTGGGCCCTGGACGACAAGCGCCACTCCTTCCGCAACGGAGGCGGCCCTGCTTTCCAGCTGCGAGAGTGGAAGGAGCCGGCAGGCTACGGGCGGCAGGACGGCCCTGTCTGGATCCCCAGCCAGGCCCGGCAGCCAATCTATTACGATGAGCTGGACGCCACCTCCAGCTCCCTGCGCCGCCTGTCCTTGCAGCCCCGTTCCCACTCTGTGCCCCGCTCTCCCAGCCAGGGCTCCTACAGCCGTGCCCATATTTACTCCCCCGCCCGCTCACCCAGTGCCCGTTTTGAGCGGCTGCCACCTCGAAGTGAGGACATCTATGCTGACCCCGCTGCCTATGTGATGAGGCGGTCCATCAGCTCCCCCAAGGTGAGCCACCAACCTGCCCCTTCTTCCTCATCCCCTGAGGCCCCCCCACCGAAACCCAAGACCATCTGGGACACACGAGGCTGGGCTATGTTGCAGGACGGGCAGTGCTGCCCCAGGGAGCCACTGGCCCTGTGGGTCTGCCCATAGAAGAACCGCCTTGGGGGATTACTGCCCCTTGAATAGGAGCCCTCTCTGTGCCCCTCCCAGCTATGCCAGGAGCCCTACTTCTGTACAAAAGGGCAAGGAGGGTTCTATCTTTTCAAATCTTGAGGACTTGGGCAGATCATTGGAAGATACTGCAGTGGATCAATGCGGCCTGTCTTGGTTTGGAATCTGCTCTGGGACAGGATACAGACATCCCTAACCTTGAACTTCAGCTGGTGGGGAAGTACATGTCCCAGCCCAACCCTCTCACCTCTCCAATCCCCTTTCTCTTCCAGTATGATTACCTGGGAGACAGGCGGCCAGTCCCTGCAGGGCTGTTCCCCTACAACTACCCACCATCCCCCACGGTCCACGATAAGATGGTACGTTCTCTCTCCCACTCCTCTCCCCCTCAGGGCCTCTCCAGGGATGCTCTGTGCCCAATGCCTGGCCCGTCTGGCTTCTGGCAGCCTCTGGATACCTCCTCCCTCCCAGCCAGGACTCTAACCCCAACACAGGGTGCCAGTCAGCCCTTCTCCTCTGTGACACAGGCCAGAGGGGTAGGGCCAAGATCTGGAAGCATGTCATGTCCCAGTCCTCTCGACTTCAGAACAACTCTCCCGGGCGGCACATGGAGGGGCCTGGAAAAGGGGCTTAGGTTGTGGGCTGGGAAGAAAAGTCAGGCTAGAGCTCCCAACAACAGGCATGGTTTTCTAGTCTTTGTCGCATCCAGTCTGACCTTGTCTAGAACGCAACTTTTGGGGAAAGAAACAAGTGGTAGGATGAGGAAGAAAAGATACTCCACTTGTGTCCCCTCCTTTTCCCTCCTCTTTCTATTTGTGTGTCTTCCTGGAGTCCTGAGAATTTTTATCTCCATCTGGAGAACTAGATCAGATGCTCCGCTAGGAGGCCTGGGGAGCACTGCTGGAACCAACGGGCAGAATCCGTGTCCCCGGTGACTGACCCCTCTCCAGAAAAAGCCCCAGGAGGCTGGGTGGAGGCGGCCTGCCAGGCGGGGAGAGCTGTCGGGCCCCCTCCTTCCCTTTTCTCCCATGCTCCCCTGCCAGGTCCAGACTCTGTAGGCTTAACACACAGCACAGGCACCCATCCAGGAACAAGGGATTTTTCCAGAAAACTCAGAGCTGCTAGAAGTGCTAACTAGCTCGTTTCACCAATGCTTCCCTCTCCTGGGACAGGGCCAGGCCAACCTAGGTGCAGGGAGTCGGGCCCTGGTATGCCCCTCCCTGCCCGGCTGGGTGTGCTCGGTAGGCACCTTCCCTGCCTGCCTGCCTCCCCACCCCCTCCCTTCCCCAGAGCTCCTCGAGGGCAGAGAGCGGCCACTCTTTGTCCTTGCCCAGCTCTTTCTTAACTGCTTTGCTTCCTTTTTATTGTTTTCTTTTGTCGTGTTCCTGTTTGTTTGTGTTGCCGTTGGGCCTCGGGCTCCGGGTAGGATGAACTTTTAGACCTTCAGTTGCAAAGAAACCTAGAGTATTTGGATCAGCAGGTAGGCAGAGCTGGTGCCCCCTCACCATCCTCCTGCCCTTCTGTCTCTGTCTCCCCACTCCTCCCCACCTCCTCATCTTCCATCCATCTGACAACCTTTGTTGACACAACCAGGGCACAACAAAGTGGCTGATATTTTGGTTTGCTGCTTTCATACCCCTTCTCTTCAAAGCCCTTTAGGGCAGCTGGGAGTTTCCTGGGGAAAGGAGAATAATGAGTGACCTCATGAATAATCAGTGCCACCTCCTCTGGGTTTCCACCTCGATGGAACTGCCCCTGGGAGCTGGTGGGGCAGGGGGCAGGCGGGAATCTGCATTTCTGCTGCAGAGAGAGGCAGAGACTCTAAAGGGAGGAAGGAGAGGGCGATAAGCTCTCTCAGTGCTTGGGCCAAAAGTGCTAGAAGTTTAGTTCAGCCCAAATGTGGGTAATTATTTCATCGTCTTCTGCAGATTGTGGTTAAACCTCAGAATGTTTGTAAACAGGACTACAGACCTGCTCTAAGATGATTTTTAAAGTTTATATTCATTCAGTATATTTATTAGTTCCTCCACAGAGGTCTTTTGCATACACGGCTCCTTTTCCTGAGACATCAGTGCGGTGGACAGGGGGAGTGTTGTCCATTCAGGTTTACAGGAGGGTCAGTGAGTGTCCCCCCATGATGGAAGCAATTGTCTGCCTAGGCTCCTGGCTCCAGGCTCTAACTATTGGCTACAGAGCCTTTCAAGGCTAAGGAGACTGTGATACTCAACCAGGTGTAGACCTGCCAGGGGTCAGTACGTTAGGCATTTACATGAGCACGTCCTCTTCTGTTCAGGTCTGTGCTATAAATCATAGGGGACCTGCACATACACAGCATTGTGCTGTGGAGGTAGCCTGGGGTGGTAGAAATACTACTAATAGTAGTAGTGGTAGTAATAACATATAATGATAATGGCAAGGGCTACCATAATTGGGTCCTTTCTCTGTGCCCCATATTATTCTAAGCACTGTACAGATCCTAACTCATTTAATTTATGACAACCTCGCAGGGTGGATACTGTTGTTATCCCCATTTTATATCTGACAAAACTAAAGCCCAAGGTTAAATTACCCGTCAAGGACGCACAGCCAGTGAATGGCAGAGCTTGGAATGTGACTCTGAGCTTTCAGCCCGGTTTACAGCTGAGGAAACATCTAATACATGAAGCAGCTGGAGTCAAACCTCGTCAGGATGATTTTGTGCTCTCAAAGCTGCAGAAAGAACCAGAAGCTTAAAATCAGAGGATAGAGTTGCGGCTGTTGGTGCTTCTAGTCATAAACCACTTGCCACGTGCCCTTCGTCTCACAGGGCCTCCATGTCTCAGTGACATCATCTTCATGCGAAGACTGGCAGCACTGGTGTCCGCAGTGTAGTCAGCAGGACAGCCCCCGACCCTCAAGGAGATGGCACTTAGTTCCAGAAGCAGCACATGGCGTCCCCCTCATGAGCATGCCAGGCCGTGTGGGGATGCGCCCCAGCGTGCTAACCCAGACTAGGACCGGGAGATCCTGGGTTACGCCAGCAGAAAGCAGGCTCCGTAGTGCCGTGGAGTCGCGGGGAGCAGAGCTCAGTGCCTCCCAGGATCTTGGGCAGCCTCTCCTCCCGGTGGCCCAGCCCCAGTGCTTGGCTATCCGAGCATTCAGGACCCCTTCCTGGGGCTTCTGCCCTCAGAGCAGGTGGGCCCCAAGGTTGGGGGGGCTTCAGAAATTACCTTTTGGAAGACCTCCTCCTAGATAAAGGCTAATATTCTTAAAAGGCAGTTTGATATGATGAGTCCAGAATGTAGAGTCAGACACTGAAGTCGAGTTCCAGCTCTGCCATTTATAAGAATTTCCTTTTTTTTGACCTTGGAAATGTCACTTAGTCTCTCTGGGTCTTTGCTTCTCAGTTATAAAATGGACATTGTATAGCTGCCCTTTGTAGCCCACAGACGACTTTGCGACATCACACAGAAGCAAGGCTGCATTTGGGCTGCTACCTAAACAGGGGTAAGAAGGAAATACATGTGGGTCCCACGCAGACTAGGAAGACAGGGGCAAAGGGGTTGGGGGTGGGGGTCCCCAAACTGTGACCCTGAAGATCTGCCCTAAGGTGGCTCTGTCCCTTCCCTCACTCGCTTCTCCTCCCCCAAAAGCTTTTCCTGTACAATTCCCTCCGTCTTCAGCTGCCTTCGCCTGTAGGCCCATTGAGTTAAAGGGACACAGCCAAGGACACTCCCTAAAACATTCTGATGCTGTCGCCAGTGGGGGAAGTGATGGCGTTTCTGGTTGATCTGGTTGGCTTGTCCCCTCTCTCTTCCCCTTTCCTTCACCCTTCCTTCTCTCTCTCTCTCTCTCTTTTTTCATTTGGCAGATAACCTCCGCACCCCCCACCCATGTTCCTAATGAGCTTTGAAACATAAAGTCCCAACATAAAGGTTGGGAGAGCAGTGCTCCAGTACGGTGTCCCTTTAACGTGGCTTGCTCGTTTGGGCCCCCTTTTGTGCTCCCTGGTGCCATCAGAATTCAGCATGATGCTACCAGCCCAGCTCTGGAAACCGTGTTTAGCAGTCCCTTCTACTCTAGAGCTAAGAGGTGGCCAGGGGTCGGGAGAGAGTCCCGTGCCTCTCTGTTTGTGAAGGCGCATCCAAAGAGCAGGTCCCAGGCCTTCTCTTTCAGCGGTTTCATTTAGTTCAAATTTGCGGGGAGAATGGCCTTTCCAGCCACCTGTGCAGTCTCTAACCCAAGCAGTGTGAGCAATGAGAGCTGGTGCAAGGTGGTGACAACCTTTGACATTGCGGGTGACACCCCACCGCTCAGGTGCCCTGGAGATGTGTCACGGGCCGGGGCCTCTGCAGAGCTGTGAGCCCGGGCCCCCCACCTCCCAGCTCCCTTCCGTGGCCTTTCCTCAAGGGCAGCTTCAGTGCTGGTCCTGAGAGAGAGTTCACAAGCAGCGTGCAGTAGGTGAGGCCGAGCAGGGTGCTGGAGGCCCTTTGCTGTCCCCTGGAGAGCGAGCACAGGCAGATGTCTGCGGGGTGTAGGGGAGACGTCTCTGTGCGGCTCTGAGTTGGCGTCGTCTGTTCCTTCCTCTGCTGCAGATGAGTGAGAGTGAGACTCTCATCAGTATGGTGAACCGCATGGTGGGAAACTCTTCCCCCAGGGCCCAGCTCTTCATGCAAGTAAGACCTCTGCCTGGCAGCATGGTTCCTGCCAGCACCATTTCAGCTGCACGCATGGCCGAGTCACCCCCTCTGGGGCGGGGCTTGCGCTGCCTCACCTGCTCATTGGCCAGGCCTCACCTCCCAGGCTCAGCCTGGTCTCCCTCCCTTAGTTCTGCTGTGTCCCCTCCATTCTTCACGTTCATGGGTGAACCCGAGACCCACTTCCCGAACCATCGAAATAGCACCAACATCTCATGCCATGCCGGGGGTCACAGATCTGCTTCTTCGTGTCCGGGATGTCTGTTTCGTATCTGATGTCTTCTTAATAGATGTTGGGGTTGAGGGTATGAGGGGTGTGCTATGGAGCCACCCAATGCCAAGCTTGTGCAGAATGTGCTGTGGTTACCAGTTATGTCACCATGGGGAGGCGACATTGGCTGGACTCGGACACATGTCCGGTTTAGGCACAAGCCCTGTGACCAGTGTCCAGCCTACTGGGGCAGTGCCTCTTAGGTATTTCCGGTGCTCATTCAGTTCTCCCAGGGGTTGACTGTTGTTCTCATGGTGGTCACCACCCAGGCTGCCACCCCAGAGGCCCTCTCGGCAGCAGAGCCGTGAGCTTAGGGGAGAGGAACACAGAGCACTAGCTGAGCAGCTCCTGTATCTCCCGAGCCAGCCCAGGACAACTGAGATGCAAGCTGCCCAGCCAGGGGACAGAAAATTAGCTCAGCTCAGGGCCCCGGAACAGAAGCTACCGGAGGTGATGGACGGCAGTCTCTGGCAAGAACGGAGCAAGCCCCAGCGTGCCCCTCTGCCCCCTGCTGCGGTAACCGGCCTCATGTTCCTGCAGGTCCCTCCGTACCCAGAGGTGTTCCGGGACAGCCTCCACACCTTCAAGTTAAACGAGCAAGATACAGATGTAAGAGCAGCTCTCCCACCCCCTGTGTCCACCCAGCCCTCCCGCGGCCACCCTCATGCTCGCTGTCCCCCGCGGGGGGCCCCCTCCCTCCATCTCCCCTGCTGGTGGCTCTTCATACGTTTGCTCACGTCCTCTCTCACCACAGACAATATTCTGCCTACCCCCTCCTCCTGCCCCAGCTGTGTCTCTCCATGAGCTCCAGGCACTCCTGTCTACAGCGGTGGAATCGGCTTAGTTACAGGCACACAGACTTTGTTAGGAGGGAGATCGGTCAGTCTCCTCTGAGCCCAATGTGGCAGCGTCCCTAGGGGACTGGGAAAAAGAACACGGCCCACCCGTGCCCACAGAGCTCAGGGAAGTGGGAGGTGCTGGGTACCAGCATCTGGCAGCATGTGATTCACAGACTGGATAGAGGGATAGCAGGTTCTACAGAAGTGCAGGCCACTGAGATGGGGTGGGTTTGTAGGTCAGGGATGAAATACATGAGCTGGGCCTTGGAGTTAAAAAGCTCGGAGGGAAAGATTTGGCTCAGTAGAAAAGAGACAAGAGGATATTTAAAGAATGGCATGAATAAACATGTGGTAGCAGGAAAGCTCAGGAGCTAAGTATGGCCCTATCTGCCTCCTCCCTGTGGCCACTGGCCCTGCAAGCCTGGGAAGGCTTCCATCCAGGCAGGATCAGACTCCAGCATCCGCCATCCTGAGACCCTGGAGGGGGGCAGGGAGAACACGGTCCTCTGGGCCTGGGGAACCAGGTCACCTCATTCACAGGTCTTCCTAAGACTGCTTGTTCAGACGCCCTGCCTACCCCTCCCATCCATCCCTGCCCGGGAGGCTGAGAAGGCCAGGCCACACGATCCCCCCCCAGGGGGACGGGAATGCTGAAGCTTAACACTGGTTCTCAGCCCTCAGCCCCCTGCCCTCTGCAGCCGACTCCCTTCCTCAGAGGGTACACACATCTCCCCTTCCAGTGGGCCCTTGGGAAGTCTCCCAAGGTGAAGACCATCTTTCTGTTCCCGGGAGCCTTCAAAGTCTAGGTGAAGGCCCAGGACTCCTCAGTGGGGGAAAGGAGTTGGTATCCAGAGGCCAGGCCCTGCCAACCTAATTCCCAGGTCTCATCAAACTGTGTCCTTCACTCCCTTCTCTCTCCTTCCCCTCCCCCTACTCCCTTGGGACCCCAGAAGCTGCTGGGCAAGTTGTGTGAGCAGAACAAGGTGGTGAGGGAGCAGGACCGGCTGGTACAGCAGCTCCGGGCCGAGAAGGTAAGAGCCACGGGGCAGCCGTGGACGGGCACACACTGGGCCCGGCATGGAGAAGGTGTGGGCTGCTATCTCCATCCTAAGCCGACAAAGCTTTGTCGCCCTGAAACTTCTGCCCTTTTCTGGAACTGCTGAGGTTCTGAGCACCTTCGCCGGCGTGAGGACAGCCTCCCCAAGCTTCCTGGGTGACCAGCAGGGCTCAGGCCTCTGCTGCTGGAAGTCCCAGAAAGGACTTCGAGGCAGCTCATGGCCATTCTCCTGCTGTTCTTCAGGAGAGCCTGGAAAGTGCCTTGATGGGGACCCACCAGGAACTGGAGATGTTTGGCAACCAGCCTGCCTACCCGGAGAAGCTGCTGCACAAGAAGGAGTCACTGCAGAACCAGCTCATCAACATTCGGGGGGAGCTGTCGCAGGCGACCACGGTAGTCCCAAGGCCCAGCGGGAGCCGGTTTTTCCTAAGACTGCTTGTTCCTTCACCAGTTTTCCTAAGATTGCTTGTTCAGAAACGCTGCCTGCCCCTATGGCCCATCCCTGCCCAGGAGGCCAGGCCACACGATCCCCTCAACCCTTCATGCATTGGACCCCCAGGGGGACGGGAATGCAGTTGCTTAACACTGGCGCTCTGCCCTCTGCCCTCTGCTGTCGACTCCCTTCCTCAGAGGATACACACATCTCCCCTCCAGTGGGTCCTTAGGGAGTCTCCCAAGGTGAAGACCGTCTTTCTGTTCCCAGGAGCCCATGCCCCCTGCCCCCGACTCCTGTCAACACCTGGACAGGAGAGCCACCCTCCCAGATTGTGCTTTCCTAGTCCCGACTCTCCTCTGAGGGCGAGAGCAGGGTGCTGCCACCCAGGAGGGGCATTAACAAAGGCCTTCCCACTGCCTGGTGTCCAGGCAGCAAGGCCAGCCTGCTCATTGCATAGAGTCTTCGTAAAGGAAACCGACCTGTTTCCTACAAACTGTTCCTGCACCTGCATTCGTTCTGGACAGTGTGAGGTCAAGGGCCACTTACATCCTCAGCTGCACTAACAGCTTTGCCACCCACCTCTGCCCACTCCTGGCCCCTGGAAAACCAGGGCACCAGCAGAAATGCTGCTGCCCCGGCATCTCCCCGGAAATGGGGCCCAGGCAGGAGGAAGGTCTCCAACCTCCAGAGGGCAAACCCCCTCTGGCTCTTTTCCTGGGCCCTCCACTTCCTGTCGTCCACTCTGGGGAGAAAGGAGGGCAGGGATGATGCGGTTCCCTGTTGGCCTATCCACACATCTGGGGGGCATTTGGTTTCCTCCGTGGTTGGGTGTGCAGTAGGCCGGGCTGTTGCCCCTCTTGAGAAGAGACGCAGGCTCTCTTGTGTGTCAACCGAGTGTCTCAGCCCTGTGCCCTGTCCTCCTGTCCCCCTGGGCCCTCCTCCCCAGGCCGGCCCCACCTCAGGTATCCTGGCCCCGGGCCCCGTGGCAGGATGAGGGGAAAGCTTTGGCGACGGCACTCTTTGTCCATACACTGCCCCCCCGCAGGCCCTGACCAACAGCACTGCGGAGTACGAGACCCTGGAGTCAGAGGTGTCAGCCCTGCACGACGAGCTGTGGGAGCAGCTTGGCCTGGACTCCCAGGTGAAGGGGCCCCGGGCAGGCAGCCTCGGCGGGCCTAGGGCCTCCCCTTCTCCTTGGGGCCCCCAAAAGGCTTCCTTTCTTGCTGTAGGGATGTTAGGGACTTACGACAGGCCGTTCATCCTGAGACGAAAGGCAGAGTTCAGTGCTACCTCAAAAGTCTAAGTTTCAGGATAAAGATAATGTGGATTTTTCTTTAAAGAAAAATCACAGAGGAAGAGTAAAGCTGAAGCATGGGAGACTCAGGTCAGACATAAGGTGTTTTATGACTAAAAGGACTTAACAGATACATAAAAAATAAGTATAAACCCGTCTCATGACATCAGGAGAATATGCAGTCTAGGAGCAGTCCACCCGGGAATCTGAAGGTAGGAAGGAGGCCTGACTTCCTGGGATGAGCTAGAAACTCTCTGCCTGGAGGCAGGAGGCTGCACACATTGGTCTTGGGGAGTTCTTGTTCTTTTCCTCGCCCCGTCCTTTCTCTGCCCGGGCCCTCCCTCTTCTCTGGCCGGCTTCGCAAGCCCTGTCTCTGGGGTGCACTTCATACCCTGTTTCCCCCTAGTTTCCTCCAGGGTCCTCCTGGTAGAAAAACTCAGCTCCCCAACCTTGCAGCTGGTTAGGGAGGGTGAGGAGAAGGCTCCCCTGGCCCAGAGGACCCAGAGGCACCATGTCCTGTGGGCGAGTCTCATTTTCAACACAAACATTTTAGGAGAGGAGAGCACCGTGTTCAAGAGCTTCAGCTCTTGAGACAAATGGACCAGACCCAGCCTCACATGGTGGGTGCGGTATTTACTGACAGATGGTCTTGGGCGTGAGTTTTCTCGGAAGTCAAGACCACTGGCTGTTGCCATTGCCTCTGGAATTTTCATGCCCCTGAAATGAGTTAGCACAGTGCCCAGTACAGGGGGAAGCTAAGTAAATGGTAGCTCTTATTTTTCAAAGAGTGTAATGGAATACAATTGAATATAACTCATGACTATCTAGGCATACGTTGGGTGTGGTTATTACAAAAGGCTGTTTGGATGTAAAGAAAAACAGTAAACTGGAAGCTCTTGCCTCTAAAACACAGGCTACTGTCAAGTGCCCACCTAGAGGGGCATTCACTTTAAGAGCACCCCGGGGAAGCCCAGTGGGGTGGGTTTCTTCTCTCTTGCTTCTGAGGCTACATGTTTACCTAAATGGGCTCTTTCCTGTGATGACGGGCTTTGTCCTCTGGCAGCTCTGGGACTCCATGTTATAGAAGTACAAGAGGCAGAGGCTGCCCATGAGGAAGATGAATGTGCTGGAAGCGTGTGTGTGCGTGTGCGTGTGTGTGTGCGTGCGCACAGCTCCTGCCTGCCGCTGGTCCGGAGGGGTGGGGGTAGAAGGCTGGGGCACTCCCCACCAGCCACTTCTCTGACCTGCTCCTTGGCTGTCTCAGAACGAGGTGCTCACCCGGCAAATCCAGAAGGAAATCTGGAGGATTCAGGACGTGATGGAGGGGCTGAGGAAGAATAACCCTTCCCGGGGCACGGACACGGCCAAGCACAGAGGTGGGTACTTCTCCGCTGGCCCCCTGCAGCGCACGCCGTCAACCCTCGTGCCTTTCCTGGCCCTCGCACTGTGCTCAGAGCCAGTCAGGGCTTTCTCAGGCTCCCAAGTCTTCCCCTGGACCCTGGGGTGCCAGGTAGGGTTCCCTTAGTCCGCCCCTACCTCCCCAGAGTGAACCAGGTGTACCGGCCAGAGACACTGTCGACCCGGATACTCTCTAGGTCTCTCCCCGGAAAAGGTCAACGCCCGCCTGCCTCTCCGTAGCTCCCAAGACCGTTGGCTTGATGTCATCCTTAAGCCCTGGGAGCGCAGGCTGGCTTTCTTTGACGTCTCAGGCTACACTGGTGTTTCTAACCATCATCTTCCCCTGCCTGGCACACCTCTCAGCCTGTGGCCCCGCCCTGTGAAAAGCCCCTTCAGCAGCCCAGGTGGCCCTGCATCCCCCCAACCCCCGACCCCATAAACCAACACCCACGTGCCTGGCTACAGCTCCTCCACCCGCCCCTCAGCAATCTCCTCTCTGTTTCCCCCCAGGAGGACCTGGCCCCTCGGCCACCTACAGCTCTAACAGCCCCGCCAGCCCTCTCAGCTCCACCAGCCTCACCAGCCCCCTGAGCCCCTTTTCTCTGGTATCTGGCTCTCAGGGGTCCCCCACCAAGCCTGGGTCCAGTGAGGTAAGTTGAGCAAATTAGGAATAGAAGGTAGGTGGGAAGGGAGGGCCAGGTCCTCATTTGCCTGGAACTACGCAGATTCTCTGCCCATCTCTTCCCCAGAAGCCTCCAGTCCCACATTCGGCTCTAAGGGAGTCATTCTCACACCCAGTTTGGTGAACTTCCTTCCAGATTTCTCCTTCTCCTGTTCTCATCTCCCTTTCTCATCTTTAGCCTCCTTTCGAGGAGGTGTCTACCAGAGCACCAGGCGGCTACCAAAGATACCAAACACTGACCAGGAATTAGGTCCAGGATGGGCCCCGGGGGCAGGAGAGCCCTCCTTTGTGTGGGGAGCAGTTTCCTAGTCAGTGTTTGCTGATGCCCTGCTGGGGGTGAGGCCTGGGAGGAGGGCTTCTCAGAAAGATACGCATGCGTACGCAGGGAGCCCAGCATCCAGTGGGGACCGGGACCAGTTCACAGGAAACAACCAGCCTCAGCAAGGTAGTGGCTATGTCTCTGTAAATGCTCTGGTGCTGCAAAGAGACAAGGGGTCTTGAGCTAGGCCACTAAGCATGGGGACAGGTGGAGGACCAAGGGGAAGGAATTGCAGGTGGGCGAGGTGGCAGAAGCAGGGCCCCAGTGGGAGAGAATGTGCCCGTGCGGTGGTAGGGCAGTGAGAAGAGAGCTTCAGAGAGATGCCGGGCAGGGGTGGAGTGCAGTGCCCAGTGGGGGCTCAGCTGGGGAGAACCTTCAAGGCCAGGCTGAGCGTTCACCTGGAGTCGGAGCTCCATACGGGCCGTGGGTGGGAGTCTGGTGGCGCAGGCCTCTGCCCGGGCCTGGCGGCACTGCTGTCTGCCTCCTGCTAACACTCTCTTCTCCTGCTCTCACAGCGGCTCCTCTGTCCTCCTAATGCTCTGGCTTCTCTCCGCCTCAGGAACCCGGCCCGCCGCGGCCTCCCCTCCCCAAAACCTACGCCCCCCTGGAGTCTCCCCCAGCCGTGCCTCCACTCCCTAGTGAGAGCCGCTTCTGGCCATATCCCAACTCCCCTTCCTGGCACCGTGGTGGCGAGGCAGCCAGGGGTCAGGTACCCAGTCCCCTTGGGTCCTGGAGGGCAGGGGTGGAGGGAGCAGGGCAAAGGGCCGCACGAGGGGCCAGGGCAGGCCACGGAGTCGCCATCCCCCCTCCGGTGCTGATTTCCCCACAGCCCCGTTTCCACTTCTCCTCTGCCCAGCTGGGCTCTGGGACAGGGACGGTATGGCAAGACGCTCCCACAGGCCCTTCGCCCTTTTTACTTCCTATGGACACTGGGCAGCTGAGGTCCTGCCCCTGTCCAGGCTCCTGGCAGCTCATGGCTGTGGGGGTGGTATGCCCCCCCCAGATGATGGGATCAAGTGGCCCCCCACCGGGCTGCTCCAGTCCCTTCCTCCCCTTGTCCACCTCAGACTCCAGGGCCCCCATGCTCTCTCTCTGTCTGCCTTGCCTGTGTCCTCTTTGGGTCTCATCGGTCCCTGGAGTATAAGGACACAGGCCCCTTTCTCCCCTGCTCTGGCTTCTTCTCTCACCTGGATCCCTGGCTAAGATCCAGGAGAGAGGTGCAGTTAGGCCTGGAGGAGGTTGCACGGTGAGTAGAAAGAGTCCTGTGCCCCAGCTGGGAAGCCCATATTCCCATCCAGGCTCAGCTGCGGTGTTTGCATGGCCCCCGAGGGGCTGCCCAGTGCGGTGGGCCTAGCAGGTAACAGCACCTGTTTCACCTGAAGAAAGGAGAGAGGGCTCCCGTTGGACTGGGGCTGCCCTCTCTGACCTCCGGCCTCGGCCTCTTTCCCTGTTGCCTCACTGGGACTTAGGGGCCTCAGCTCTACAATGGGAGGCAATGGCGCAGTGGCTTCCAAGGCCCCTTTCTAGTCTTGTGAAAAGTACCCTCTTCCTTCCCCCAATATCCTGGCACCGAAGCCTACCTGGTTCTTTTGTTCAAGACTCCTGTGGGATCCCAACGGAATCCCCAGTGACCCTCGGCCTTGTCGCCTGTCCTCCGGCCATTCCTCCTCTCGGGCTCACCGCACATCGATGCTCCTAGGAAGATGGGTCAGGTCGAGGGGCCTATCTGATGGGCCTCCTGGAGGCCCTGAGCCCTCATTTCCCCAAGATGGCCCAGCATTGCCTGGTGGGAGGTGCCCATGCATTCTACCTACTTCCCTGCAGGCACACATAGTTTCCTTGTCCCGTGTTTTAAGAGCTTGCACTCCAGCCTTGCAGAAAAACACCACTGGGGCCAAATTCCTGGCAGTCACTCTAGCATCAACCATCTTCTCATCCTGTCTCCCAGCCCAAGGTGAGCTGCGAGCAAAGCAAGAAAGAACCCCACCAGACATCAACCCTGGACACCTCTAGAGACATGAGCCTTGTGCCTACCAGGCAAGAGGTGGAGGCAGAGAAGCAGGCAGCTCTCAACAAAGGTACTGCCTGTCCGTCATCCCTTAGAAGTGAAGCCAAGAGTCAGAGAGGACCGCAGAGAGGGAGTGCTTGCCTCAGCTGGCTCTCTAAGAAGCAGGCTCCTCTGACTGCCCTCCTGTCCTCCTGAGGCCCACTGGCTGTTCTGTGTCCTTGCAGTTGGCATCGTCCCCCCTCGGACAAAGTCACCCACTGATACCGAGGTAACTCCGTCAAGAGTGGTGAAGAGGAGTGCCAACGTCGGCGGGCTCACCAATGGGCTGTCCCCCCGGGTGAGTGCACGGCAGGCTCCATGAGCTCCATGAGCTCAATGTGGGCCTGGGCTGGGCCGGGAGCCCAGGGGCCTCACTGCGTGTCCACCCACCTGTCCCTGTTCAGGAAAGCCAGGGGAGGGGGAGGGCGGCAGCCCCGCTGGGGGTGTTCTCCTTTGGGGAGACGCATCAAGGGAGGAAGAAGATGTGCATAATAAAGGTACGAGAATATTTGACAAACATAACGTGCCAGAGGTGAGTTACAAATGCAGCAAAAATCAGCGGTCAGAGTCACACGTGCTGACCTAAGGCAGTGTATTAGTTTCCCAGGGCTGTGAAGAATTTAACAAAATACCACAAACTGGGTGTCTTGAAACAACAGAAGTTTATTCTCTTACACCTGGTGAGGCCAGAGTCTAGAATCAAAGTGTCACAAGGCTGGTCCTTCCCAGGGGCTGTGAGGGAGCCCCCATTCCACACCTCCCCCTCGTTTCCGGGGATTGCCAGTGGTCCATGGTGCTTGTTGGCTGGTGTAGACGCATCACTCTGACCCCTGCCTCCAGACATCACCTTCGCCTCACCGTGCCTTCTTTCCCTGTCTCTTATGAGATACCCATTAGGGGACTCAGGGCCCACGCTAGCTCAGGGTGATCTCATCTGGAGGTCCTCAACTCAGTCACATCTGCAAAGACCATATTTCCAAGCAAGGTCACAGTCACAGGTGCAGAGGGCTAGGGCTTGGACGTATCTTTTGGGCATGTCAGGCAGGCTTCCCAGAGAAGGGAAATTTAGAGAATTAGGGTAGATGAAAAACGGGGCAGGGGGAATGAGGCATCTGTCTGAGTCCCTTTCTCCTGCTGCGCAGGAGCGCCCCAAGAGTGCTGTGTTCCCCGGGGAGGGCAAGGTGAAGATGAGCGTGGAGGAGCAGATCGACCGCATGCGGCGGCACCAGAGCGGCTCAGTGAAGGAGAAGCGGCGGAGCCTGCAGCTCCCGGCCAGTCCCGCCCCCGACCCCGGACCCCGGCCCGCCTACAAAGTGGTAATGTCCTGGCACCTGACAGCACTGCTCATCTCAGGGCGCGGCCAGCCTGGCGGGTGGAGAGAGGGGGCGGGAAGGACCCCAGTTGGGCACCTGGGAAGGCTGGGGCAGCCCTGTCCCTGCAGGGCAGAAAAGATACTGCAACAAGTATTTGCTTTTTAGTGTTTAAAGAAAAGTAACTCACAAAAAGGAATGCCTTGACTATTTTGGTTGAAATGAATTATACAAAATTCAGTTAACAGAGAACAGTACAAAAGCCACTACCCAGAAATAGCCATCACTTACACATGTCTTTAGAGCATTTACTATGTACTTGGCATTGAGCTGGATACACGGAAGATAATTATAACAGCTCACCGTTGTCTGGCACAATACAATTCACACGTCTCTTTCAGGTTATCACATTCTCTTTCCACAATCCTGGGTTAGGAATTATAATCCCTATTTCAGAGATAGGAAAACAAAGTCACCAGAAATTAAAGGATTCCTGGGCCACACAGCTATTAAGTATAGAGTCGGGAGTAGCCTCAGGCTTCTGCCTAAGTTTTGTTTCCACCAAATTTCAGAAACACAGAAAAATTAGGATCCATTAGTCCTGAGATCAAACATCTTACATTCTAGTTGGTGGACTGGAACTTCTATAATCTGAGATGATTAGTGATCAATGTAACATGCTGATTCAACTGCCCAAAACATAGGGCACAGAATGTGAACACAGGCTACAGTGGGATGGGGAGGAACAAAGCTGGATGAGTGATATTGATGGGACAGCACCTCCGGGCCCTTGCGGGTGGGCAGGCTTTGGACAGGCAGCATGGAAGGACAGACAGCTCCTCTGCAGTGGGGGACAGTGGCCAGATCAGGGGTGCTGGCGGGAATGACACAGCCGTGCTTGGGGCTGCCTGGAGGAATGGGTATCAGTGAACAAAGGCCCTGTGTGGTCATGTGATGCTGTCCCCTAGGTGCGCCGTCACCGTAGCATCCATGAGGTGGACATCTCTAACCTGGAGGCAGCCCTGCGGGCAGAGGAGCCTGGTGGGCAGGCCTATGAGACGCCACGGGAGGAAATCGCCCGGCTTCGCAAAATGGAGCTGGAGCCCCAGCACTATGATGTGGACATCAGTAAGGGGGTGAGCGGAGTCCCGGAGGGCCAGAGGGCGAGAAGCCTGGGAGGGGACGGAGGGATGACCTCGGCCTGTCCACAGCTCTCCACACCAGACAAAGTCTTCATCCCCGAACGGTACATTGACCTGGAGCCTGACATGCCCCTGAGCCCCGAGGAGTTGAAGGAGAAGCAGAAGAAGGTGGAGAGGATCAAGACGCTCATTGCCAAGTCCAGGTAACCAACCTGGGTGAACCTCAGCTTCCGCTGCCCACCCTAGTACCTGGGACATCTGGTGCACCAGTGCCGTGAATCCAGAGCCTCACCCCACGTTGCTGGGGGCCCTGAGCCTCCCTAGCAGAGACCAAATGGAAGCAGGGGCTCCAGGCAGCAGGCAGGGCCCGGCCACACGGTGGGGCAGTGATGCTGCCCCTGGGAGCCCAGAAGGCCTACTGGCCTCACGCACGTGCCGTCAGCAAGGCAAACTGGTGGGTTGCCCACTGCTGGCTTTTTTCCCTTCAAGGCTGCCCTAAATGTTCATTTGAACCTTCTAATTCATTTTAAAGCACCGCGGATAGGGGGCCCAGTGTGTGCTCTGCCGGGGTGTCACTCACCCCTGGGGACAGCCTTGCTGGGAACCAGAGCCTACACATTCACAGGCCCCAGCCCCCTGCCAGCCTCAGTCCACAAGCCGCCCAAGCCAATCGGACCCTCCTGTCCCCTGCTCCGTGTCTGTGTGTCTGCCTCTTCAGCATGCAGAACGTGGTGCCCATCGGCGAGGGGGACCTTGTGGACGTGCCCCAGGACTCAGAGAGCCAGCTGCAGGAGCAGGAGAAGCGGATTGAAATCTCCTGCGCCCTGGCGACCGAGGCCTCCCGCAGGGGCCGCATGCTGTCTGGTGAGAGGGGCTGGGCCTCGCTCCGCCAGGGAGACCAGCTGACCAGGTGCCGGGGAGGGAGTGCAGTGCCGCCGGGGGCCAGGAACAGAGAGGAGCAGGGCCAGGCAGATGTTCCTCATGGTCAGGGCGAGCATTTATTGAGCACCAGGTACTCTGCTGGGCTCGGTGGGTGCAAAGGGGCCACAGTGGCTGACATCCAGGAGTCAGAGCCATGACAAGCCTCCTGGCCACTTGATGGCAGAATGGCTGCAGCCATGCAGAAAGGAAGCCATCCTCCCTGGACAAGTCAGGGAAAGGCACAGAGAAGAACTGATCCCTGAGCTTGAGTGGGAAGGATCACAGTATTTGGCAGTAGTGCTGTGAGGGACAGGTGTTCGAGGGCCTTGCACTCTCTACTCCTGCTGTCCACACATAGGGAGAATAAAAGAGGAGGTGGTGCAGGTAAGCAGGGAGCTGAGGTATGAGGAAGGGACACCGTGTGTGCTGAGCCCCCAGCACAGTGCCTGGCACTCAGGAAGTGCCCAGGAAGTGCTAGACCAGCTGTAGTGGTGGTGGTGATGGTGATGCCACTAGGTGAAACAGCAATAGCTGAAGTAGAAATAGGAGCCGTTTGTGTTTTGTCTACCTATTTTAAATGTGAGTATTTTCAGAAACCAGAGGGTTTTAGGCTCTGACAGAGGGGATTTGAGTAAGCCTTGAGGAAGGACCACTGGAAGTCAGCGTGGTGGACATTAGGTGGGCGAGCAGGGAGAGCCCCTGGGGGCATTTCAGAGAGGGGCTGTGAGTTGGGCTGGAGCTGACTGCAGCAGGAGGGATGGGCTTCGGAGGGCCCCATCCTGCAGCCAAAAGGCAGAAGAACCGGTTTGGCTGCAAGGAGGCCTCTGTGAGCCTTCCTATAGTTTAGCTGTAAAATGAACCTGAATCTTCCAAAGATCAAATTCCACATGCCCTGGGCAAAAGGTAACTTCCTGTTTCAAGGGTTAGAGTGAACAGCACGGCTTTGAAAACTCCCCTCTGGCCCTGCCCCGGCCCCTGGCTCTCTCTACTACAGTTCCCCTGCCAAAGGTTCCAGGAAAACAAAACCCACCCAGCCTGTCAGATTCCCTCCCCCTCCCCGTGATACACACCGGCTAACATTTCAGGGTCTCTGCACTGAAAGCAAATGGTCACCTTGCCTCTGCCAAAACCCCAACTATTTAAAAAATGGTTGTGGCAGGGCCAGACCTCAGCCTTAGCCCACTGTCCCCGCCACCCCTGGCCTGTGGCCCAGATTCCCAGAGTTGCAGCTCTTCCAGGCCCAGCGAGGACTGTTCCTGGGCACGTGCAGTGTGGGCGCATGTCCCTGCCTGGGCCCTGTGTGCCTGGAGTGCTGGACACGGGTCTTGGGACCGTGTAGCAGGCACAGGCCTGAGTGTGCGTGTGTGACACAGATGGCATAGTCTGACAAGCATAGCGTTTGTCAGTACACAGCTGTGTGCAGACTCCAGTATACGGTGTATGGGAAAATGCAGCAATTTTAAGTCTGTGTGTGTGGCAGGATGTCATGAGCAGTGTCTGTATCAGGAAATGTTTGTAGATTACATGTGTGTATGCAAGTGTGTGGTGTGGGTGGAGGGAATGTTTGGGCACAAATATAGGAGTGTGTATGTGTGCGTGATGCCTGTGGGTGCTATGTGGAGGCCCATCATCATGCGCACAGCTGGTGTTTGGTAAGCTGGAGGAGTGTAGATTACGGACATGTGAGTGTACAAAGTAAGGGTGAAGGCGGTGTTTATGAATGCACGTTTCCATGTGATTGGCTCTCTTTTACAGTATAAGAAGTGAGAAACATTTGTGTGTATGTTGTGCACAGTGTATGTATTGCAATGTTTGTGAACATACGTCTGTGTGTGCAGGATCGGGAAAAGCATGGTCTCATGAACATAAGTATGCGTGGCTAATTATTAAGGCAGTGAGTGCACCATTACAATATCATATCTATCCAATACATATCTTCAGCATATGTGAATTTTAATAATTTCAATGGATATATTCCTCATACATATTTAGTATTTCTCTGGTTTCTTAAAGAAGTTATGTTAACATAATTAATCTTTCTTGATCTTGCTCATTTCGTATCATAAACAAGCATATTTTGCTGACCTCGGTTGAAGGGATGTGCTAGGGGCCATGATGGCTGTAGATCTGTTTGTAGCCATGCTAAATGTTCCCAAACTGTTACACTTTAAAAATCACTATGTCTACATTGTACAAAAGACTTCCTCTCTTCAGTTGTGCCTTCTTGTACATGTCAGTGGACTTCTCAATTCCTCTCTAGTTTTCCTCTTTCTAACCTCCCGTGGGCTGGGAACCCAGCAAGTCAGCGATTGTTGTATAAATCAGAGTGGCAGGACCCCCAGGAGCACTCCTACGCATACGTTGTAGGAGCTTCCCTACATGCAGGTTGTAACATCTGTTTGGCTTCCTTGAGATATTCCTTGCTAAGTTTAGGGGGTTTCTTTTTTGACTGTCTTAGAAATCGAAGTTGCCAGATTACTAGCCGCTGGTTCTGTGATACAGATATACACACCAGTGTATTCAAAAATACATTTCGAAAGCATCTACAAATGTATTTGGGGGTGAAGTTACAAGTGTGCTGGGTCACGTGAAAGGAAGGGCACGGGTTTGGAAGTGCGCACACACGCATCTGAGTTGTGTGCGAGGGTAAAGAGACGGTGTGGCCAGATGCCGTGCACAACCTGTGTACCGTGTGTGGGCAGACACACGTCCCTGTTCATGAGAATTCCATGTTCACATCCATATGCGTGCATATGTATGTGTACTATATGATGGTAGCTGCACGGCCCTTTCTCCTGCACAGATGCAGGGAAGATGGTGAGGTCCAGGGCCAGGTGGGGAGCAAGGGACTAGGATGTTCAATGCCAGGATCCGTGTCTTGGAGGAAACACGGTGTGACCCTGGCTGAGGTCTCGTTCTCCTCTGAGCTCGAGTTGAGGACGTCCTCTCTGCCATTCTGCTGCCTTCCAGCCGCACGGGGGGCACACGGGGGTGGGGGGTCTGGAGGCTGCCGAACGCTTGTCCCAGCAACATGGCTCCTCTTCCATGGTCCCCCCACTTCGCCCTTCTCAACATGAAGTAACAATGATAATAGAGTAAAATTCATTAATTCAAATGTCACCACTTTAAGGCTCATAATGGTTTGTTAAGGGCGGGGGGGTGATGAAAAGGGGGTCTCAGGTGATATCAGGAACGTGTTTCTGAGCCCTTGAGCCTAAGATAACAGCCCTCTTTAAGCCTGTCAGAGCCTCCATATTCATGGAATTGGTTCACCTGGTGATCACTCCACCGGGATCCCGTCACTCATGGGGGCCTGGTTCACCTGGTGATCACTCCACCGGGATCCCGTCACTCATGGGGGCCTGGTGGTTTGAATTGTGTGATTTTACTGCACTGTTGTCACTATTGTGAATGATATTGCTGTCCACCCCCGCCATCCCTCATGCTACCTGCGCAGTGGTGGACAGGGGTGTGAATCCCCCCACTGTGCGGATGGGAGGGGAGCTCTAGGCCGGTTCTCAGCAGACCAGGATCCAGGGGCAGGTCTCCCTCCAGGGGCCCCAGGATGAGGCCAGCCCTGCCTCAGCCCGCTCAGGCGCCCAGCTCAGCACTCGCTCTGCTTGCCTCCTGCCGTGCCCCCCGCCGGGGGCGGGCCTCGCTTGCTCTGGGCGCCCAGCCTCCTCGCTATCCCCACCCCCACGCCCAATTCACCTGCCTGTTCATTTCTGTTTCCAGTGCAATGTGCCACCCCAAGCCCTCCCACCTCCCCTGCTTCCCCGACTCCACCAGCCAACCCCCTCTCGTCTGAACCCCTGCGGGGCGCCGACAGCAGCCAAACCATGCGGTCTGAGCTCTGACGTAAGCACTTCTCTACTGTACCTCATCCATCCCAGGGAGTGGGACCCCACCATCACCCCCATCGAGCCATCTACACCCTGTCATTCGGCATTGCTCCCCCATGCCGCCCTTACCCCTCCGTCCATCCGCTTGAGCCCGCCAGCACCCACACGCGGTGCTGAGCTAGAGCCAGCTGGCAGGGCCGCTTCCTGGATGCCACTGGGCTTCGCTTCTCCCGAAGCAGGCAGGAAAGAGCGCTGAGGCCTCCCCGTCCACTGTCAGGGAAGGAGTTCCCTGACCCCCACCCCGAACCCTCCCGGAGCAGACAAACCTGCCAGCCTCTGAAGCCCCCAAAAGCTGTTTCTTCCAGATCTTATTTCCCCAAATCTTATAAATCAAAATAACACTGGAGACTATAGCCAAAGGCTGTGTACTTTCCCTACCCCTAGGACACAGCTGCTCAGTATCAGGCAAATGGGAAAGAGCCTAGACTTCTCGTTGGTGAGGGCATTTACTGGGCGTTGCAAGAGCCAACCTCCTGGGGAGCCAGCCAGGCCTTGACCTTTCTCACCCTGTTTCTCTTCTCCTCAGTGCAAGCCCTGGCTGAGGCCAAAGCTGGGAAGCTGCACAGAGCCACATTCTGAAGCCCTCCTCTGCCCACTGAGGTCCTGGCCCCCACCCTGGCCCCCCGCCCCTGTGCTGCCATGGGAATGCTGCAGGGAGCCGGGCTGGGGCCAGGGGCGGCTGCCAAGAGGGGCACAGATAGCTCCATGCGCACGCGCCCACTACACCTGGCGTGAAGCCCTCACTACTCGGACGGTGGTCCTGGGCCAGGGCTGGAGAGGGCAGGGCAGCGCCATCCTGCCTGATGCCCAAGTCACAGAGAGGCCGGGCCTGGTGGTGGCCGGGATTGTGGTGGCCCTACCGAAACATTTCCTGATGGAGAAGGCGCCCTGGTGGGGAAGATGCCCTGGCTTCTTGGGCTCGGACTGAGGTGAAGAGGAGGAGGATGTGGACACTGGCCCTTCCGACCCCTCCTGACGTGGAGGACAGCACCTGCCGTCACCCCCTTCCCCATCCACCCGCCCCACCGGCCCAGCTGCATCCGGGGCTCGGACACGTCTCTGCCTGTGGGTGCTCCTCTGCGGGCCGGTGGGCACGGCCCACCCTGCTTGAGCCAAAGACAAGAAGAGAGATGGCAGGGGGATGGGGGGGGGGGGGGCTCCTCGGCCCGCAGCAGGGACAGCGCTGGCTGTGGTCAGAGAGCAGCGGGCAGGTCTGTGCAGGGTCAGGGCAGGTCGAGAAGGGTAGCGGAGGGAGAGCGCGGAGGAAGTGGGAGGAGACAACGGCAGGACTCGTACGCAAGTAAAGGAGGGTACGGAGATGGGGAGGGGCTGTGGGATGGGTTTCCCCAGGACGGGGGCCTTAGCTTAGTGCCAGGTGCAGTGCCAGCCTGTCAGCTCTGCTGCCCCACCCCAAGCCCAGCCCCAGGAGGCTCTGCCACAAGCCCGTGGCGGCCTTCAGCTGAGGTGCTTGGCTTGGGATGGAGGTGTGCTGTGAGGGCTTCCACGGAGGCTCTTTCATGCACTGGGCCTGGGGTCTGCCTCCCCCTAGGGGCTCAGGTGCAGAGAGAAGGACCCACCTTATGTGGGGTGTGGTCAGCCATGGGGCCTTTGGAACCATTTTTGAGACATTTTCTTGTCCCCCTTCCCCCTGGAATGTGCTGTGGGCCAGCTGAGAGGGTGCCTCAGGGAGTGGGGACACGGCCTTAATCTAGGAGGCCAGCTTCTAGGCCCCTACCCCACATCTCCGGCATCCCAGATGAGGACCAGCCAGGCGCTCTCACCATCCACGTACCCACCAGGCTAGTGCGGGAGAGAAAGAAGCCAAGCTCCACCGTCCTCCGCACCACCCACCCTGAGATGAATGTAGCCAGAGAAGAAGGAGAGGACAGCGAAGCTGGAAACACCCAGCCCCTAGGCCTTCCCCTCGCCAGAGCTGTTGCCCAGAGACCTCAGCCTGACCTCCAGTGGCCACAAGAGCAGCTGCTCTGTCTTCCTCCAGTTCTTCTCCACTCCTTCATGGCCGCTACAGTTTCAGGTTCATATGCAAGTAAAGATGGCAATTCATTCAACAAATATTTATGGAGCACCTTTTCTGCACCAGGCACTGTTCTAGGTACTTAGGATAGTCTCATGCTTCTGAGGCATTACAGACTGGGGGGGCGGGGGGAGTTCTTATCTTCACGTCCAGCAGGGCTTGTGAACATGACCTTCAGCTGCATTTCCCATCTTTAGCACAGCCCAACAAGCATCCCTGAATCAGTCTTTTCTCCCCAGACTGGCAGGTGGCTCCCAGGTAACCCTCTCTCCCTCTTTTCCCACCTTTCTGCATCCACAAGAAACAGATTTTGGGGGGCCTTCCATGCCTTCCCCTTTATTTGTCTCTCCTTTTCCTTAAGTGATATTTGCAGAAATACATGTAAAATACCAAGGACTCATGTCTGCACCTCTGCCACCGCTCTCACCTTTGCCATAAAGCTGGCTCTTTATGTTGCTTTACATGCCTTAATATATGTTTTATGAAGATTACACGTAGTGTAGATATATATGTAATATATATATTTGTTTAGAGGTCTGATCCTTTCCTAAAACTCCCACCCAGGCCTGTTTTCTCTCCTTCCCATACCATTTCTAGCATGTTGGGGCCGTACCCCATGCCTTTTGATCCAAAAAAGGGGAGAGGAAAGACTTATTTTAAGACAGATCTATTTTATGCTTTTGTTACAAAAGCAAACCTATTTTCAAAATGTGCAATGTCTGAATGGAATTGGCAAATGATGTGCGGAGGAGACTGGGGTGGCTGCCTCTAGGTCCAACCCTACACCCTTCCCGCTTCCCCCCTTTCTCCAGTCTGCCAAGGGCTGCCCCCCAGAGCTCACCTGGAGAGCATCTTGCCAGGGCAGCACATTCTCTTGGAAGTCCTATCTAGGGATTTGATTACACTGTTAACTCTTGATGACCCTCTAGGGTTTTGGCCTGTGAATCCTCTAAAGAATGTTTACAGTCATGTGTGCTAAAGAACTCTGCAGGCACACAGAGCCCCCACGTGCTCCCGGGCCACCTCCCTGCACCATCCTGCTGGAAAGGACAGACAGCTTAATGCTGTTGTAAACTGCTCCAAGTATTCTGTTCCTTGAGGGATCCGGGATACAAGGCAAAGGCCAAAGGAGATGGTGTGGGGCTGCGGGTCCTTCAGTCCACATACAGTCAGGTTCTCTGGACTTCTCACATACCTGGTCACATGATCCCTCTCTGGACTGCATCACATCTACGGCATGTCTCCCTCTGTGACTTTCCTCTGGGGGCTGTTGGTGAGGGGCAGGACCTCCGTCTGGCATCCTGACTGTGAAGCCAGCTTCCGGGCAGAGGAAAGGCCCATGGGTGATGTGGCATCTCAGTGGTGCCCAAGAAGCCCCCAGGCCTCTCCTCTGGCACGCTGCCACTGGGGTGCTGAACTAAGCCAGCTCAGCCTTCCAAACTTCTGACTGACTGTCGAAGTGGGCAAGGGGTTCTTGCCTTGCAAGGATTTGGGCAGAACTGAAGTCTTTTGTCCAGATCTGGAATCAAGGGTTTTGGAGTCTGGCACTGAGCTCCTGGACAGCATCTGAAGCCTGACCTCCCACCTTTGACATTTACTGGCACCCTATTCCCAGCCTAGAACATCTTGTTATGAATGAATGGGGCCCCAGTGGAGGCTCAGGGCTAAGTAACTCACCTGCAGACAGCCCTGGTTACCAGTTTAGGAACTTCCCAGGTAGCATATTACCTCCTTGATCAATAACCAAGAGGCTATAAAATCCTGCTACTGTCACTTTAAAGATTTTTTGGGGTCACACACTCTGCACACCGGCTCCCCTGGCTTGGTGAGAGGCATGTTCTCAGGCTGGCTGACCGCACAGATGGAATCAATGCTTTCCCCTGCAGGCATCCCCCACCTGGCAGCTCTTAAAACTAAGACAAAATATAAAATAAACACACGCACACACACACAAACATATATATATACACACACACATATATCTATTTATGCACTTATTGGGGCCAATTTGATTTGCTAGTATTAGATGATAAATCATACGAGGAAATGTATGATCTCAGTGTCTTTATTTAGTATAAAAGTGACCTTAGAAGAAGATCAAGATTAGATAAACAGAGGGTATCTCTTTCAGGGGACCAAACAGCTGTAGCAGCCCCTCAGCATCTTTCTAGCCAAGGAGCCCCTTCTCTGGGTGTGGGGCGGGGCAGGGGGTGCATCGTCCTGACTGATAGGTGAGTTTGCTTCCCCCTTGAGGTGCAGAAGAATCCCAGTGAGCTCTGCATTTGTATCTTGCAAGTTTGTATAAACTCAATCCAGGAAATAAAATGAATGGTTTGTACAAGTTGTGTGTCTTTCATACTCTGTATTGGCCTGTGGCTGGTCTTGGGTCCATGGCAATTTGCAGGCTTGGCAGTAAAAGGCAAAGCGGTCTGCGGCCGGGCCTTCCCTGACTAAGAGCAAAGCTAAACCCGAAGTCTGTGTGCCACCCCATGTCCCCACACCTCAGGCCCCCTTCCCAGCCTCCCTCCCAGGCAGGAATCTCGGAGCTCTCGGAAGAGCGCTGCCTCCCTGTGGCATGCTGCCAACTCCATGGCCATCTCTTGGGTCCAGGTGACCCCACATCAAGGCAGGTCCCAAGGTCCTGCCTGTGTAATGGAAGTATCAGGTGCTTCAGGCCCTGGAACCGTCTCCCAATTCTTCTCTAAGACTGAGGCTAGGACTCTAGGAGAAAAAGAAAGTAAGCAAGCTCTCCTTGCTTACTGCACTATGCTCTGTATTCCCACTTTAGGGTACAAGAAGGTGTATGACGGGGGGCATCAGACCACCCGAGTTATTCTTGTCCAGCCTCAGTGCCTTTACTTTAGTTCCCGTGGCAGGTACTGGTGGTTACCAGTTATTGACGCTCCTTGCGAAGGACTTTACCAGGGCTTCTCAGTTTGAAATCTTTCTGTGCAAGAGTCAAGAAGCCCCATAAGTTCTGCGGGTGGGGTGCAGAGCAAGTGAGCCCAGGGCAATGGCAGGTCTCAGCTGAGATTCTGCACAAAGTCTGGAGACGTGGAGACGTTACTGGTTCAAAGAAGGGAACATTAGAGGAAATGGGAAGGCAAGCTCCTAATTCCTGAGTTTGCTTCGGTCTGATTCTAATGGCTGATTTTGAATTCTGGACGTGTGTTCTCATCCCTGAAAAGATAGTGATGTATTCTTTGGTTTTTGGTTTTCGTTTTTTACAAATGAAGTGACTCTATTTTGAATTTTGTAATGGTCCCAGGAGAGCTATAAACCCTGGTGTCCTTTGTGTATCAGATTTGGGACCAGATGCAGGCTCCACTCAGAAGCCTTTGAGGCCGGAGGAGGTGCACGAGACAACTTGTCAACTTCCGGGGCCCGGGTCTCCCTCTGCAGACCCCTCTGGGCCAGAGCCAGCGGCTCGCAGAGGAGGGGGGATGTGGCTGCCCAGAGCACCACTGGGTGTCGCTGTGCTACAAACAGGCTGGCTTCTCTCCAGGGATGATGCCCGCACCCTCTGCCTGCCCCACCTCCTGGCACAGGTCAGCCATCTCATCCAGCCAGGTTGGAGTTGGCAAAGGGGACGGTAGACAGAAAATGTAATAGAATTATCAGCTAGCAGAATGCCCTCTCAGGAGTGGTGCTGTAGCCTGTGTGTTTATTCTCGAAGGGAGGCGTGTTGGGGTCAGGCAGGCAGGCACGCTTCAGACTGCCTCTGCCAGGGAGCCGGGCCGCACCACACCTGCCTCATCCGGAGCCGCCTGTGCAGAGTTGGCTCACTGGAGGCTGAGGCTGCAGAGATAGAAGGCGATGTCTGCTCAGCTCCTGGCCCGGCTCCTTGCTGTCTGTGTGACGATTTAGACAGCTCACTAAATCATTGAGTCTCAGTTTCCTCATGTGTGAAGTGGGGATGTTACTACCATCTATGGAGCTCTCAAGGAAGCCAAATGAGAAAATGGACGAAACACACTTTGAAAACTCAAATTCATTTGCAAATGTGAGGACGTGGTGGTGACATTGTATGGACCCCTTGGCTGCCTTCAGGGACGTGACGGGCAAGAGGGAGAGGGTGTCCCCAGGCCGCCCCCTTTGCGGGCTCCATCAGCAGGGCCCCTGCCGTTCAGCCCTCCGTGGTGCCCCCCGGCTGCCCCCCTCTCTTCCTCCTTTGCCATCTCTAACTCGCCCACTCTGGTATCCATGCTTCCATTAAGATTATTTCCCTCTTTCTCTTTTTATATACAAGTACATCTCTGTTATTACTGACTTAACACTTTTTATCTAGTGTTCACCTCCTACAACTCTTCCATTTTATCAGGAGGACGGATATTTCTGATTTTTTGTTTGTATATAATGGCTCTGGTCTATTTCTCTTATAGGTAAGTACACGCAGTCCACCCGTTTCATTTATGTCCTCTGATAAGTCTTTCCTGAGCACTTACAGATTGAGAAACATTGTGTTTTAAATTATTTTCCCCCTTTAGTGAGATTTTATTTGCGGTTTTTAAAATAGTATATGTAGATTGGTGATATCATTATGAACTTCATTTCAGGACAGAAGGGACATTACAAAGGGGGTGCTGGCTCTAGTGCTGTTGGGAAGTCCTGCTCTACAAGGGGAGAGAGCCGGTGAGGAACTGTCTGCCCCCGCTTTTTTCAGGCCTGTAGAGGGCAGCGAGGATGTACCCACGTCTATGCAGCTGATAGGTGGACCAGAGCCAGGCTTCCTGACCCGTCCAGCCCTACTCCAAGACCAAATTCATCTTTCATCCTCTGTAACTCAACCTCAGAATCCAAAGCTGGGCACTACCGAGGGAAAGGAGAGTAAAGCCCTTTGTGTCTGACTGCCCTGGGAAGATTTTGCCCTTGATTTAACAGAATCTGTTTCTCCCAGGAGACTGTCAAACACAGGTTTTACTCAATTACTTGTCTCCCCCTAGCGTCTAGCTGGGTAATAACACAAAGCAAGCACACCTTACTTACAAGACGAATTTAATACTTTTCCAAAGGGACGCGGATCCCCACTCTTCCCACAGCCTCCAATAAACTAAGAAAGGAACCTGGTACACCGAGATCCCAGCTCTTCCATATACAGTCCGAGTTCTGTGTATTTGCTGGAAGCAGCTGAACTCAGCCTCAGGACGTGGGAGTTGGGGGAGGGCCACGGAAAGGCCAGGTGGGCTTTGCCTTCTCCAGGTGGGCGGGGCGGGTGGGAGGCAGCAGCGCCCTGTGGGAAGATCCGGGAGAAGGGAGCCTGCGGCTTTAAGCAGCCGTATGGAGGGCGGGGGTGGGGTGGGAGAGGCCCGAGGAAGTTACTGATTCACCAGAAGCTCATTTCACAGTTTACCAAGGGTCAGCTTCCCTGAGCATGTGCGAGTTCGGTCCTCTCTGCTCCACGGCCTTGGGCAGTGTCGTCCTGGAAGGCCCCCCCAGGCAGTCTGCAGCATGATCTCCATCACCGAGTGGCAGAGTGAGTGCCCTGGGCCGGTGCTGTGGAGAGGGCAGGGCTGGAATGGGGTATCCAGGCTAGGGGGCGGCGGGGGCGCTGTGGCTCCCTGACTCTCTCTTTGGGAACCTGTGGAGTGACCTCTGGAGCCAGTGGCAGGGAGCTGCTGTGTTGGCATCCTTCAGACGCGGGTCCAGGCTGGGTGTGGCTTCCCGCCTCCACTGGTAGCGGGCTGCTCAGGGCCCCCAGGTGGCCAGGGGCTGGTGGGAACTGACAAGGTCACCGCTCAAGCTAGTCCCTCCCATTAAGGGTGCTTAGACCTGGGGTGCTGCATAGGTGGGCTCAGGCGGCCACTGGGATTCAGATATGTTTCCCCAAAACCCTCAGAGTGTCCCAAGGCCCTGGGTCCCTTCTTATCAGAAACCAAACTTCCCTGCGCTCCCCAAATCACCATATCCTCGCGCCTAAACGTCCTTGCTCTTCTTTTAGGGGACAGGGCAGGGAGGTAGTCCACAGCCCTGGGAGGGGCGAGAGAGCCCTGGCTTTGTGGGTTCCCTTTGGGTGAGTTACTTAAAAGCCTCTGAGCCCCAGTGTCTCATCTGTGAACTTAAGGTGATCATTCATTCACTGAACCAGTTTGTCTCTGCTTTGTGCCAAGCATTGTGTTGGGTGTAAGTATACAATGGTGAATGGAGCAGACATATTCCCTGCTTACATTCTAGAGTGGAAAACAGGTAATTGACAGATAAAGAAGTCAGCATGTAGTATGTCAGATGGTGATGCATCCTCCGGACAAAAATAAAACACGGTAAGGAGGCTAGGCAGTGCGAGGCAGGAGGGGTAACTGCTGTGTATAGAGTAATCGGGAAAGGCTGCAAGGAAGAGGTGCCTTTTATATAGAGACTTAATAAGAAATGAGGAAGAAAGACATGCAGCATGGGGGCAGGGCTGGGGGAGCTGTTCTGGGAAGAGAGAAAGGCCTGTGCAAAGGCCCTGGGGCATTAGCATACTTGGTGATGTTTCTGGAGTGAAGTGAGTAAAGGGGAAACAGCAGGAGTTTAGGTCTGGGAGGTAACCGAAAGGCCCTGCTGTGTAAGAACTTTGGTGTTATCCCCATAAGATGGAAAACCATTGGAGGGTTTTGTACAGAGGAGTTATTTATAACTATTTATATTTTTATGATCTACATTTTTAAAAAATCACTATGGGTGCTAGGTTAAGAATAGACTGCAGAGGGGTGAAGTCACAATAGGGGGACCAGGTCTGAGGTGACAGATGGTGGAGGAGACCAGGATGGTAGTAGTGAAGGGCTCAATGCTGAATCTGCTTTGAGGAAATTGCTGGAAGGATTTGCTTATAGATTGGATGTCTGGTGTAAGAGAAAGAACTCCAGACTGCCTCCAGTTTTTTTAGCCTGAGCAATCAGAAGGGTTGAGTTAGGTTTTAGGCACATTGAATTTGATGTGCTATTAGGCACTGGGGTGAATGTCAAGTAGGCATTTAGTTACATGATACTGGGGTTCAAGGTACAGGCCTGAGTGTGGGAGAGAAATTTAGGAGTTGCCAGGGTCTACACGGTATTTGGAACTGTGAGAGTCCAGGGCATCATGCAGTTCCTCAGCTTCCCCACTACTGAGTTTTGCAGGATCTTTCTTTGTTCCCGGCGTCTGTCCTGGGCATTGTAGGACTGTAGCAGCATCCCTGGCCTCCCCCCACTAGATGCCAGGAGCGTACTCACACTCTAAGAAGTGACAATCGAAAGTGACTCCAGACATTACCAAATGTCCCCTGGGGAACAAAATTGCCCCCCTCCCCACCCCTAGTTCAGAACTGCCAACCCAGGGAATAAAAATAGAGCAGGGGCCTGAGGCCTGAGCCCAGGGGCAGACCAACG